CTGAGCAATTGTTAAATTGAAAAGGAAGAGGTTTCGATGTGCCTATGAACCTCTGAACGTTCGGATAGTTTCCACCTACACGGAAAGTAAATAGACATTTTCAAATGTAAGTATAAGATGCTCAAGACGCAAATTTCTCTGCTGCTTGCTTCTAAGAATCCCAAGTTGGCCGTGTGTACTTGACGACCCGAATGGAGTAGAAAGGGTGAATGTAATCTTGCACAATCAATGCAAACTTATTCAATTAGCATTGATGGCCACGTTTACAACGACAAAACCTGAACCAACCTGAAGTTAGCAGTCCAAGATAAGGTAAATTGCACGATCGCGATGAATTTAACTAAAACCGAGTATTTGGCCTCTAAGCAACTATTTGTCCAGAAAAATCCCACAATCACCTCAATACTTTTAATTCAGACCCATCGCGCTGCTCAAGTAAAGTAAGCATGTTAAACGGCATACACGTACGAACCGGTAAATAAACACAAGATATGGTCAACTTTGAACACTAATAGGAATTATTCATGCAACTCGATCGCTTAATGTATGCTCGTCCCTTTTCTATTAATTCGAACTCGATATCGAGTCGAATTCTAAGTTGAGTTGGACTTCGCTTTTTGAATGAAAATTTTTCCTTGGTTTTTTCAATTCTCCAATGCATTAATTGGATATGAAGAAAGTACAAGGCAGAGTTATTCCTTTTTAAATCTCGCAGCTTTAACATATATAAATACACTTTTGAAGCAGATCCTACCACTATATGCACACATGTATTTAGTTTTGTAGCGAGTCTTTGCAAACACATGTATTCTATGCTTAAACGATATGTATGTTTGTTTTATTGCCATGAATGAGTTTTTTGTTCGAGAAAGTAATGTCGCAACGTTTCACAACGAATAGCGCAACCTACATCTACGACAGAATGGCGAGGAGTGATAGGCAAAGTTTCTTACGAAAGATAATAAACAGCAACGAGTAGAGACGAGAAAGACGATATTAAATAGCAATTGACAACATAAAGATTCGTATGTAGGCAGATGTCGAGCGCAATTTTTATTAAGTCATTAATAGATATTTCTATTTTAAGCTTCGTGATTTAGTTACATGATGCCGATTGAATACTATACTGTTAAATCAAAGGAAATATATATTGTTTCACTAACTGAATATTTTACAAATTCATACAAGTCGGATAATATGAACTCATCTCACGACCTCAGCATTCTGTTCGATCATAAATTTTTAGAAAGAGCTATATTTGTTGGTCCAGGGAATTCGATGACTACGAGCTTGATACGGCCCGCACTGGAATCTACCTTGTTTCCATGATCATCTTCCTGCTGTTGCCATGTTAAACTTCAGTGTTCCTGGCCTGTTCCTGGTTCGTCAAGGAACTTTCTTGCTTACTTCACCCGCCTCGAACCCAGTTCGAACTCAATTATAAAGTTTTTCGTTCCTTTAGGTTCTTATAGCAGTCTAATCCCTTACTCCTTTTTACCACCAGCACATTCTCGATGCCATATTGACATTAAAAAAATAATTTTCGAGTATCCCACGCTACAAGCCGCTAATTTAGTTGTAATTAGTTTGGAATGGAGTTTGCTTTTGGTCTGAACCTGTACATGCATGCTTTCCTCGTTTTCGTTTTTTCCCCTCATTTATTTGTTTATATATAAATTTCGTAATCTTAAGATTCTTTTCTCTTACTTAAAATTTTATTTAGGTTGAGCTTTTAACCTTAAGCACTATTTAATTTTAGCTAAGTCTATGTTGTCGCTGAATTCTACTCGATTCTATGTGAATAAAAAATAAATGAATAAATAACTTTTTTACAACAAAATTTGCAAGAATATGCTGATACCCTTCTATACGCACTTGACATATATTTGCTTAAGTATCCATTCATTCATTTATTCATTCATTCATTTCTACATAACAATATTATACATAAGCACTTAATTACTGTTTAGTATAACCTGAGCGCAACATGAAGCTTCAATTATCGTAAGTTGTTAACCTAATACAAACGCGTTTTGTTGCCCATGTGTCAGCTTGTCGGTTTATCTGCGTCTATATGTTTACGTCATAGATTTTTCGGATTTTCCGATATTTCTTGTTGGCAATTTATCATTTAACCATATCACTATATTCCTCTCTAACTGCCCGGCGGTGTACCCATGAATTTAGATAGCGGTGCATAGCGCATGTAATTGCTTTTCAATTTATTTAATCATAGCACGTGTGCTCGAAGTGTCAAAGGACTTAGTCAAGGGCTTAGATTTTTTAGGGCGGTAATTAAAAAGTATACTCACTGCAGCCGATATCCATACTATTTATGCTGCCTATAGCCAATCAAAATTGGAGTATAACCGGTATGTGTTGGCCGCGTCCTCACCCACTCCTCCTATAGTTACCTTTATACCGTGCAGCACATTAACACGATACGTCGTTTTTTAAGCGTACTGCCCGCTTTGGAACAACAAGAGTTCGCTTTTTCTCTCAAAGAAAAAGAGCGGAGGACCCCCTAAAGTTATTCCCCTAATTATATGCGGTTTTAATATAAGTCATTCGTTAAAACTTTTGACTTTTTAGGTTTTGTTTAGCACTCAAAGCGATCTCCTGCTTCGCAAATCGCATCTTTCTTTGTTAACATGAACGTGTTATACTTATCTTGCCTCTGTGTTTGTCTGAACTTAGGCTAACTGTTTCAAAGGTTAATTTTGGCACTCAAATGTATTTTTACTTCTATGTGCAAATAAACGGAAATGAAACGTCTTATTTTGTTATAAATTGAACGGAACCAACTACTAGCGATTGGAAGGTTTGCTACAAATTTAAATTATCCTTAAAGAAATCATCGGTGGGGAACGCTATCAATAACAACTAATAGAATTGGGATGAAAAACGGACGCAATATTCAATAGAAAATTATGATAGAATGAGTTTTTAGCATAAAGAAATTCTGACCCACGCAGGTAAACACTCATGAAATATATTTGTAGTTTCAACTTGGTACATCCTATCCTGCTCGTTGCTATCAGCGAACATTGCTCCTTCCAATTAACACGAGTTTCAGTAGCTTGTGGACTGCTGAGTCTATCGCATTAAAGGAATCTGGCAAAGACTGAAGCAAATGGTAGTTTAACGCGGCAAAGCCTGAACTAAATGATGGATGTTTCACAAGCCTACGGAACGTTATCGTTGAAGTCGAAGTAATATCGGTATACATAGCGGATTTTTACACGATTTCGACTGATTATCTTGCAATTGTCAAATTTTGAACGCGCTATAGTATGGTCTGCTAGATTTACAATTACTATTGGAACGAAACCCATGAGCTTTTTACTTGATCTATTGCATTAGATCAACAAAACGGTACGCTCACGATCGAAAATATTATATTATTTATGCAATTTTGAATGTTTTCTTGTCGTGAGACAGATATCTGACGAACGGAAGAAAGTTTTCAAATTCCCGTAATGGTAGTTTTGTGTCCCTTACTACTTCTAAACATAGTGTTTTGATGAAACGACGCAATGTTCATGAGTTAGTTGAGCGGTACACTTCCGTTTGTTCCTCAGACCGCATTCATATTACAATTCGAAAAATAATAAAATTTTTGCAAAACAAAAAGTGAAGCAATGCAATTCAAGTCTACTCGTTATTATTATTAATAAACAGTGCGCCGACAAATATAGAGACTAATCTATAAACACGCACATGTGTTTCATACGCATACACTCTATATGAAACTTAAGTTAAGTCACATACATGAATAGATCAGAAACAAAGAAGATCGTGGAACATTGCACAGATACCCTCCTTTCCTATTTTTTAGATTCAATCGATATAAATAAAATCCATACCTTTCCATCGATTACGAGGCAATACATGTTTTAGGAAGAATTGCTGAAATATATTCGGAAGAATTTTATGGAAAGAAATTGAAAAAATTTTGAAAAAAATCCTCTTATACAAAATTTCTTTAATCAGTTGCCAAAAAAAAAGTCCTCAACAATTTATATATAAGTTTGTAGATTGGTTTGCCGCGAATTTTTTATTAGCTAATACTGGCTGACGTTTACAAAATGTTATTAATGCTTGAAACATTCGATGAAAAAAATTTAGACAAACAACTCGTAATGCCTCGATTGCTCGATTAATAGGTAATTGTGTAGAAAAAATTAAGAAACTCTGACTTGGGGTATAATAATCCTTGCATTGAATAACACTTTGTCCTACTTATTAAAATATATCTGAAAAAAAAATAAAAATAAAAAAAAAAAAACTCTTTTTATATAAAAGAACAATAACATAGCGCAGCAACATGTTTTTCATATAATATAAAGTAGAAAGCCTACTTTTAGGCATGTTATTGTTTAGCCTTGTAGTTCAATGCAAATGTGTGGTGGTATATGAAAAAAGAAGGGAAAAATAAAAATAAATGAATAAATAAAAAATACATTTTTCCTTATGCTGTGTTTTAATGTTTATAGACTTTTTTTTTTTTTATTTTGCTGAAATGGTTTTTCATTTCATGTTTTCATCCGCAAATGTATGTGTTTTTATGCATGTCTTCCGGCAATATGACAGTGATGTATATATACATATGTGGTTGTGTGTTGAAATTGTTAAAAATGCACACATAAGGTATAGGAGAAAAGAAAAGGAAAAAAAAAATAGAATAAGGGAAGCTCGGATTTTTTTTTTTTTTTTCTTTTTTCCTATGCTTGACAACAGATATTCGCCTAGTTTTCTTGTATCAGTTTTATTTCTATTTTCCTTTCATTTGTTTGTTTTGATATTTTCCGGTATAATGGGACGTGGGATTTACTTTTTTCATATAAAAGGAAAACAAACGTAAACTATTATATATTGAGTGTGTGTTGACATATGGCGAGGATAACGATTACGTTAAACATTACTACTCTCATTTTAAAATAATTTTGAACAAAAGTTTAAATTGATGAGCAAATCGTTTAAAGGGATTTTACGCTTACCTTTTCTCTTAACATATCTCGTATCCGTCCCGCCTGATTTTTTGAGCGATGCAACTCCAACTGCAACTCTAAACAACGTTCTTGCCAGTTAATCTAGAAGAAGAAACAAAAAAAAAAAAAAAAACAAAAAGACGACTCGTAGTAAAAAGTCCCTCAAAAAATATTTGTCAGAAATTATGGAGCATAGTTACAGTGTACGGAGGTCTTACTGGTACATTTTTTTTTCATATATCTTAGCATTCGGTCAGTATGGTCTATTTGACGCATTACAGTGGAGCAGTGCAGGCACGTTGAGGAATTGCTTTAAGTTGGTTCCTCGAAATCTTACATACTTTAATAATTGGAAGTTTTGAATAAAAAGTGAAAAGAATATAAACAACACAAGGCTAGATTCAGCGAAATTAACAGATGACATCTCTCAAGCTTTTGGCGAGATCTTTTCGAAAAGAATTGGTTTCCTTTAGATAGGCACGCAAAGCATCTTATTACTAAAATATCACTGTCGGCAACACCGATGAAATTAAACTTGGCACGATGCGTAAGTTATTCGCAAAGTTGTTATAAATTTTTTTTTTATTTTCCGCGATTAATTTTTTAGCTTATGTATTTCGCCGACCTTCCGGGGGCCTTCCGTGTCCTCCTTACCGTTCAGGTGTCATACTCCTCTTTTCACCTTCATTTTTGCGTTTTTCACGTTTTGACCTGCAGTCAGATAAACAGATCGGACGCGGAATAGAAAATTCATTTCGGGATTAGTTGTCTCTTGAAAGGAGATATATACACTTTTTAACGCACTGATCTCGTTTTGCTCGTATTTGAAAAAATAACGGCATTTTTACCCGTGAAAAAAAATGCTTTTCAAATAGTATCGCAAACAACAACTCGCCGTTTGTCTTATGAAACAAGTCTGTAGCAGACTCCAATAATTATTGTTTAAAAAAAATGTAATCAGAGAAAAAACTGTTGCTTACCTCAGGCATTGCTCCTGCTGGATAGTTGTTAACCTGATGTACATCCAAATAGTCGGTTAACGTCGAGAGGTGAGGCCACGATGCGTCACTTTCTGCACCACTTACATGTCTCTCAGATTTTTCGGCAGTCATTGACGGTGCCGCCGATAAGTTCACATTTGACGGTTTAACCGGTATGGGTGGAACTCTCTGCGTGCGTCGAGGCATTAATCGCGGACTATTAGGGGTCGATTGGGCTGCGCACTGCAATCCCGTCGACGAACAGGGTGGCGATGATGAGTTTTCTAAAGCATGCCGGCCTAATGGTATATTACTGCTAAGTGAAGTCGCTCTTTTCGCGAGCAACGGCGACGAATTCAAAGACTGCGAAGTGCCGTAAAAAGGAGGCAAAGAATGTTGTTGTTGTTGTTGTTGTTGTTGTTGTTGCTGCTGCTTCTGCTGCTGCTGCTGCTGGTGGTGGTGTGTCTGCGGCAGCATTAACGGTGAGCTGAATATATGTTGTGAGTGCTGTTGCTCTTGTTGCTGTTGCTGCTGCTGGTGATAGTGTAGATAATGTCCATATTGATGATGATGATGATGGTGATGCATTTGATTCGAGGCGGATGGAAATGTGTGGACATAACCTGCTCCGCCATTCTGTTCAGTGTTATCCTGAGGCCTTAGAAAATAATTATGCGTTTGCGTTAGATATTGATAAGTTTGCGGATGATTATGCAAATGGTAAGTGCCGCCGCCACCGCTACCGCCACTGCCAACACTACCACTGCCTGCGCTAGCTGGGGTTAGGCGTCCAGATGTCGAGGGAGAGGGCGAAGATGAGGTTGAACGTCTAGCTGCAGCGCTACGCGTTCGACTTATTGATGATGGATTTGGGTTAGTTTGTAAATTCGTCAGAGTATCGAATATTTGCGATAATCTACCCGAAGGCACTTCGTCAGACATTTAGATAGATGGGTTCTTGTTTATTTATTTGTTGCTTACGTTGCACCTTATAATTGTGTAAAAAAGTATATGTAATTATTGTCTGCAGCTAAAGTTGAGAAAGAATGTAAAAAAGAATAAACACAGAAATGGATAATCATTAATATTCACCACCAAGTACTCTTTCATTCATTAAATATATACATAAATATGGATACACAACAATTTCTTGGTAACAATTTACATGTTGCAAAATGTTTGCAATTTTTCCCTTTTTATTTTTTTATTTTCTCTCTGCTGTTTGTGATTCTTGGTAGCATAAATATGCGGTTGGCTTACAAGTGGGACTTGAGCATATATGTAAGTCCGTCCATACATGCCGGTCTTTATTTATTATTTTTATTTTTTTTTAATTTTTTTTTTTTTTGTTTTTTCTTTTTCTCTTCAATAAATATTTGTGATTTGACATTTCCGTTCTGTGGCTGACTTAGGTTGCTTTTTGCTTTGCTTGTCTCTGCCTATGCGTATGCAATTTTAAGCATAATTTGCTAGTGGTGGTTGAAATGTCTAGAGAATGCTATTATATGCACTTGTATAAGTAATTGTGTTAAATATCAGTGTAATGTATATGAAGATTTCTCTGAAAGCAGGCCCCAACGACACATACCAGCAGTAGTAAATTTCAAAACTCCGTAAAATATATCATTAAAGTGTAAAGGAAAGCAAGTGCAAATGGAAGTGGAAGTGCAAGTGGAAGATGTGGAAGAAAACAAAGCAAATTTTAAATTTTAAGCAACAAATTTCGAAAATTGTAAAATCCTACAAATATTTAACATTTTATAAGTTTATTAAAATTTCTTATACACGACAGATAGATGTAAGCAGTCAATAACATGACGATACGGAAAGCTACGCGTGCTAAGTCGGATTGCCGGCATATACTCGTCTGCGCTTTGCGGCCATTTTTCCCTTTCATAGATCAGCAACTCTTTATAAACACATCTTTAACGGATTCTCTCGTCTTTCCTTATCCTTATTTTTTGTAGCAATGTTTATTAAATAATTTTCGTCTCTTATATTATAAAGAATTTTCATAATTTAAATATGATCAAGATCAAGTTTCCTAAGCATAATGAGCAAGTGTTTCTTTCCTCTTTGGCCATATTCAATCAGTTTAATTTTTTTATTGCTAATTTTATAGTAAATAAATAAATTTGAAAATGGAAGCGAGTATTTTCAATGCAGTTTGCCTTTTCGTTAGTAAAACTGGAAAAAAAAGCCTTGAAAGTTCTACGAAAACTTATATACAAACTGCCATAGTCTTCAACGTATGGTGCAAATAATTGACGAAATTTTATTGCAGAATTTCATTGTTTATGTCGTCTAGCGTAAAACTTCCAATTGACTCTGACTGAGTATTAAGCAATAATTTCAACACGGAGCAGTGAATATTTCGCATTTATTTTGCATTCACAATTTAATTAAATTGTTCAAGTTTCCATTGCCTGCGGATATGTTAGTGCATTTAGATGCTCTTAAAATATCACAAGTATCAGCAAATTTAAAGAGGTTGGGCTTGAAAAGATTCCTAACGAGTAAAAAGTCACATATACCCACCGTAAACTGTCTATCATATTTTTCTCAAAATAATTTTTTTTTTTCATTATTTAATTAGAGAGAAAAAAAAAAGAAAAGTTAAATTATTTCGAAATCAGTTTATCAATAAAATATAAAATTGACGCGAAATTCATAAATACGCAATAAAAATCTTATTATAAACTTTTCTACAAAACAAATTTATTTAATTTTTACAGCATTAGCATATTAAGCTGACACACCCGCCTATATATGCGTCGCGTGTTTTCGGGATAGAGAAAAAAACAAAAAAACAATGCACCAATAACTACTTGCTTTACATGTACTAAAAAGCATGGAGGGACGGACGGAGAAACGGTCGGATAAATGGACGGACGGACGGACGAATGGGTGGATAGATGGATGGATGAATGGATGGTTGAGGGAGGGAGAGAGGGAGGGATGGACAGACAGATCATGTATGGCATAATATACTGCAGTTTTAGTAATAAAAACCACATTCACACATACACAACACGTACACTATAATGTACATGAATATCTACCACAAATTCAAATGAATCAAGAGTTTGCTGCGTGCTGTGTGCCTGTGTTCGGCAGTGAGTTTTAAAATGTCACGTAATAATGTTAGTGTATTCAAACAAACTAAAACCAAACAAACTGGTATTAACGTTAAGCTTACTCGTGTAATATTTTTAATCAACACAAATATTCATGCACACACATATACGGTTATGCATGCACACGAGCACATAATCATATACCAAACAATTTTATGCAACCATTAGTTGTGTGTATAGTTTTATGCTTTTTGTTTTTTTTTTTTTTGTTTTTTTGTTTTTATTCTTGTGCTTTTTTTTGTGTTTAAATAAAAAATTTTTATAGTGTTATTGGTGCTGTTGATGGTTTTGCTATTATTATTAGTTTCCTCACAAAGTTATTCTTGTTGTTGTTGTTGTTATTGTTGTTGTATTATTATTATTATTATTATTATTATTATTAGTTGGTGTCGGTCATATCGATAAAACCTAATTAAAAATGCGCGTCACATCTTCTCATATTTTACATGAATTTAAAACACAAGTGTTTGAAGTTGATTTCTAGTTGAACAACTAAAAATAATTAATAAATTGTGGAGAGAAGTTTTACTCAATTCCTTATTATACGAATCTCGAACAGACTATCGCCGAAGAAAGTTTAACACATCTTACGAATAATCTGAAACATGATATAAGGTGTCCTGGACAAGCGGACAGAAATGTCTTCAATTCAATTTTACAAACTAATTTGGAAAATGGGACAAGTTCGGTTGGAACTGCTACTATGCTGCTAAGCTTAAATCTATTGAAAATCGAAAGCGGATACTCCGAAATAATCCTAACAGATCTTTAAACTAGATTTCAATTCGGACCGATCACAAGACAAAATCAAAACTCTACAGTTTGTTAAACTGTTACGCCAGCTACGTTATCGACGTGGTGCATGTTGTTCTTTAGTAAATGCGAATGCTCCAATTAAGGTACACTCACTCAAATTACACTGGACAGTTGTGACTGATGGTCAGTCAAAGGTGAAGGAGTGATCAGATACAGATCGAAGATTCATCACAAACAAAATGTTTTATAGTCGACGTGTCTGAACGTTCTAGATATCATATGATTATACAAAGGTTGCATCCAATTCCCAATTCGTGGACATAATTCAAAAAATGTATTCGACTTTTTTTAGTTTGTGTTTTAAAGGAACGAATAATTGTTAAACGAAATATGGGCCGTCATTGTAGACCTTCTGGGAGAAGATCAGAACCAAGTGATTTTCACTCATGAAGAGAGGGCTGTGTGGTAAGAGAAAAGTTGCAGTCGTGCGAGGTAAGGTCGAGGGCACTATGGAAGTTTTGATGAGTCAAAATTGTGTATACAATCTGAGATTATACAAACAGCTCACGATACACGATTCCCTTCTTTCCAATCTCGCTAAATACAAACTATTGCTTCATGTGTCCTGAATCGAGGATTTGCCACCTATTTGCACAATTCCATCCGTCTGGGCTTACGATCTTTTCGCCGCCTGTTATCAGTGTCTACAAAATGCCTGACTTCATGCGCTACGAAGATCGTTCGAAACCGCTATATGTGGCTTGTTAACATTAACATTGACAAAAGGCTCTTGTGGAATTGTATAACTGCAAGCATTAAAGATAGTCCTAGTCTTTAGATTAAGCAATTGAAAGACCGTAGACGGACCGACAGGGTTGTGTACGCGGTGTACCCTTTTATACTAAATGCTCAGACGTCTTTTACAGGGATAATTATAGGAGTGAATACCGCTTGATAGTGGAATGATTGCCCGTAATGATAATGACTACCGTCTGATTTATTTAAGAAAAAATATCATGACTTCATTACCTTTCCCGCTTCTAGCGGCGAACGTTTAATCAAATCTTCTTCAAGCAATCGCAAACGTTTACCTTTCTTCCGCGATCCTCATTTTGTATTCAATTATCTAAGATGTGTGCTGACACGGATTTACGGAGCATATATCACATGTCAAAAATCATAGTGAGTCACATATTAATATATTAGCAGTCAGCTGATAACTTTACTGATAACGCTCATAACAGTTATGGTTAGGAAATTCTGCTGCAATGGACTAGAGAGTGAAACTTGATATGGTCGCAGCGACAGACAATGTTTTCAAGCCGTTAGCTTACCCTATGGCTTGGTCAAGACCATAATTATGCTCATTCACTTTTATTTCACATTTGGATGTCGAAGAACTGAGAGACTACTTTCAAAATACTGCGCTTAATATCAGTCGTGATCTATACGATCGTTACGCATAACGGACCAACATTCCTTTAGCGATTACTTTCTTGTGGAATTTGGTCTTACTGGAGGATTTTTACCAAATTTTAGCCAACGGTTTATGCATACCTATAAAGGGATGCAGATAATTGATATCTCGGAAATCGAAGTATATCCAAAAAAAAATCATGTGTAAGCACTTCCAAGTCTCTTTTTGGATATATGATGTGTTTTGACATGTATCAGTTTGACCTGTGCGGTAGTTGTAACGTTAGAGGATACAAACCCGAAATTACACACTAATGAACGCATTCTGAAGCATCCTCTTTCAGAATAACACATGGAATATAAATTAACGAACTAAGGGGCTGGGAACCTTAACATCGATGAAAAAATGATTTTTAAAGAATGTTGAAAATATTACCGACCATCAACTCCATCAACTTATATCCTGAGCATAGTATCGTTGCTGCACTTTATAAATTTTCGGATAATGATTGCGTTTCCCCTATTCCTATATATATATATATTTTTCTTACTCTTCTTTAATGACATTAAAATGTTTTCATAAACCTTGTAAGCATTTATCTACAACAGAAAAAAAATCTACCGCACAGTAGTTCAGGTAAGAGCAACAACAATAGCAAAAATTCTCTGTATCAGCATTACCAACCGCATAACATCGCTTATACAAACACACACATACACC